ATATTGGCGAAAATGACACTGTCGAAGGGCAAAGACTTGTCTCCCTTGGCCAATCTCACGCGGTACTCCTCCGCCTTGACGGCAAGCTCACCACGGACAGCATACTTGGCTGCCTTGACGTTGGGATTGATATTATCGGCACGGAGACGACGAGGGCCGAGATCAGAAGCGGTCCGCTTGGTGGTATATGGCACGGTCATGGTGGGTTCTGTGATCGTTCGCGACTACGGGTCAGTTTTCTGTGGTAATTGCGGCCCCTCGAGATCAACCCATGCATTATGTACTTGAGACACGAACGATTGACTCGAAGGTGGGGTGGGTACGGAGTAAAATGGAAGCATTTGTCATGAGATGAGGGGAAGGGACGTGGCCGTATGCCAAGTGCCAGACCACGCATTTATTGCCTCAAAACGAACGAACATCCAATGATGGTTCATGGTTGGCTGATCGGACGATTTTTCGGGGCCAAACGGAGCTAGGGAGAGTCTTCCGAAAGTAAGACGAAACGTACCTGGAGAGGTCCTGGGGCTGGAGACCCCCGCGGGTAGCCCTGCCGCCCAGCAGAAAGCCTGACGGCGCGGCAACCGAATAATCGGCCGGGAAACTGAACGTCCCAACGCCAGCGGAGATGCCCGCATGTGAGATGCGAGTCTAAGCTGCCAGGTCATACTGCGCTTCTGGTCTTAACCGGTCAATGGAATGACTTCCTCTTCTTTTCGTTCCGTCTCCGCACGTGGGATGCGAAGGAAGACCTGACAGTAGCGCTTTGCGCTCTTCCTCTGCAGACAGTATACAGAGTAGAGAGCAAAGGGAAAAAGCAAAAAAGTCCGTCTGGGACAAATGACCCCCAATCTGCGGGAAAAGCACGCGGTGAGCGAATTTCTGCAGGCGGTGAGTTAAAACGGTCTGGCCATCGTCGGTTCGCTGACTCAGCGCCGTCTTCCGCGGGAATCGTCGGACTCACAGGGACTTACAGATAGAGATATTGGGTAATAGTTTGCCAAATTATGGGGTAAATCATCGGGTCATCAACGTGCCATTGCTTTTGGACCAGAATTTACATCTACCGGGTACCGTCCCGGTGCTGGGATCCAGATTCGGAGCAGCCCGGGGTTCATCCAAGGTTGAGTTCAGGCATTCTGCACCTCGATCCTTCCTAGCCTCATAAATACCTAATTAGGAAAACAAAAGGAAAGTGGTGCATATCTGCGTCTGAAACATGGTTGGACCGTAGTTATCGCAGTGTATGCTGCTCCGCCACCCGATAAGCATCCGGTGAATCCAGTCTACCATGTTGTTGACAGTATTAAAGAACAATGGATTCGGACATCGCAAGCCTATGCATATGTCCTTTATGAAGAGCTTCTAGAAGGTGCTTCTGCAGAGCGAGTTCGGTCCGAGTCCGACGAGTGTTGACTCGGCATGTCCCCTACTGCCTGACAATAATGCTACAATGATACCTTATTAGACTGGTGCCACCTAGTGGAGTAAGGTATAATGATGATATTTCAAGTTACTCTACCTGTAAGCCTACAATGTGGCAAGGCACCTCGATGAACCAGATTCGTTCACCGATGTATGGGAGTCCGGTGTACATGACTGGCGCTGAGCTGACGCCGCGTTGACTTGACAAACCCAAGATATCTGCGGTTAATGCAATTACAAATCACTTAGCTCAGCAATCGTCCACCAGATCAGACCATATCATGCAATTAGATCATGTTGCCTTCGGTCATTAGTTGTATGATACAGCAGCCTCGCTTGCTTTTGCTCTATCAAATTCAAAAATAGACAGACATCAATCGATGCATCGTCCAAATGATCAAGTTCACCGCGTCAATGACTAGGGATAATCGTAATGTGCCAACAGACCATTTCTCTAGCTTCGTTCGCTCCCCCGTAGCCGCACAGCCTGGCCGTACTTCTGAAGCTTCGTGATGAGGGCATCGCCATGCTTGACCAAATCAGCATACTGCTTGTTCTTGTCGTCAGGTCGGTTCGTCTCAATGATTCCATTCACTCGGTCGATGGTGCACGCGATACGGTTGCTGGCAATAAACTTGGCCAAATCCCTGCATTCACAAATCAGTCATTGTATGATTAAACACAACTGGTGGCATCTTACCGATCCAGGAAGTCGACAGTGACGCCAAAGTCATTTGCCATGCTGTTCAACCCAACCACCCGGTAGCTTTGAAGCAGCTGCTGGTAGGCGCGAAGTCTCATCTCCCGAACGAACCAGGCCCGGTGCTCGTACAGGTACCGGTCCTGCGTGAGGAAATTATCTTCCACAGCCGCCAATGCCCGGAAAAATGTCCGGTAGTTGCCGCTGTAAAGGCTATCAACCAAGTTGGCGAGAGGCGAAAAGTCAATGGGGGCTTCTGTCTCAGCCTGGAGGCCAGAACCTGTTCCCAAGGTGGTCAAGTTGATTACGGTGGTGGCGGTGCCTGGAGTAGCCGTAGAAACCGATGCATCCTTCATCTCCTCATCCCGAGCACCTTCTCCAGCGGAGATCTCGCCAGTCAGAGCAGCCAACCTGTCCTCCCCAGCTCCGAGGATTGCCTTGATTTCAGGGGCGTCCACGACCTTTGCTTTGAAGTCTACTCGCTTGAGCGACAATGAGCCCGCGAGGACCGAATAGATGACCAGGGCAGAATAACTGCACAGCTCGTAGCTCGTAAATGTAGATAGACTATCGAGGAGGAGAGGAGCCGCGAGGTTGTAGGAGCGAACGGTGAGCAGATGGAGGCCCTTGTAGGCCTTGAGACGATTCCTCCGATCCCAGTCACCACCACTCTCGATCAGAGTATCCGCCTTCTCGATATTCTTCTTGACGGACACGGCATCGCCGAAGAAGAGGCCAATTCGAACCATGGCAAGAACGAGATCAATCTTGGTTCCGAGGAACGTTGTCTTCTCGAGGAGCGCTTCGTGTGACTCGATAGCTTTGTCCTAGAAGATACAACAACATATTAGTATTCAACCACTGACAAGCCTCATTGATAAGCTGCGTTATAGGATTGTCAACGCACCTTATCTCCTACCCGTGCCCAGAATTCGGCACGCTTTCCCCGTGCGGCCAAGACCTCAGTCTCACCAGCTGCTTCTTCAGCATCGTCTTCTTCCTTCTGGAAGGCTTCCAGCTCTTTCTTGTTATCCTCAACCAAAGACTGGTACAGCGCTTCATCCCATGGGAAATCGATCTTCTGTGATGGTTTCCGAGACGCCAGCAAGTTGGAGGTGATCAAAGGCTTGTTCGACCCGTGGGTGCTGTGCTGAGGTACACCTTCGCCAGAATGGTTCAGAATGCCTTCAACGGGATGTGCAAGGTGTCGGTAAAAAGGAGCCATCTTATGCTCTGAGATGGCATCCTGAATTCTCTTCAGCGACGTCTGTCGTACTGTCTGGGGGCATGATGGGTTGGAAAGGTTGAAGACATGCTGGGCGAGGGTGAGATCAGGGAACTTGATGTACTGCGGATCAGACCCCATAATGGCGATGGGATGAAGGAAAATATGACAAGAGATGGACGAGACTGAGGGAGAGAATGGCGGAAATGGTCTTGGTGAGTAGTAGCGATGCTTGTGTAGGTAGGCCTGTTGACGGGAATCTGGTCGCAGCAGATACAGCACGTAACGTAGCTGAGCTCAGCTGGATCAAAGAAGTTCCGCTCCGAGGTAACTGTTGTCCACCATTGTCGGTCGAATGTGTACTGAATATGTGACAATTACTATACTATTAAAAAATAGAAACTGAATACACAAAGCAATTCGCTTCTAAATGATGATCCGACGCGTCTCTCTTGTGTTTTTGAGAATGGACCCCCGACTTCAGGGTTGAGAACGGTATTCCTCACCTGTTCTCTCCGCAATATATTTTCAAGTTGCCAAAGGATCATTGTCTCTAGTAATAACTACTCAGATTATCCATAGGCAGCATTTGGAGCTGAACAAATCTGCTCTTATAAGCTCTTGATCTCTGACACGAGTTGCAAGTGCTGAAGCTACAGGCTTCGGCTTCACAGACTCGACCCTTCATGATAAATGTGGGCATCGTATCAAAAGAATATTTCCATGAATCTTGGGCAGAAGCAAGGTACTGTTGGATTATGACAGGGATTAAACACCGAAGGTACTGTGTGGACTGTCTGGCTCCGGTCTTATCTTTCCCCTGGTTGATACAACTTACTCCCGGTGTCCGACTAGAAGAATCAACTTCTCTGAGGACAGGGACTTCGAGATAATCTATTATGTCAATGGTCACAGCGAGAGTACGCAGTTAGTTGTTCCTAGAAGCATGCGCTTACGGTCAGACTAGTAGATCAGTACGACAATATCCAATGCATCTGCGGTCTGTACTCATCTGAGTAGATAACGCATAAGCTCTACGGCGTCGCGCGAAAGCGCGGCACATGGCCACATGCTCAGGTTCTTGTTCGACCGGATTCGACGGACTTTAGATTGACTTTGTGGGCGTCCAATAACAATACAAAATGAGGAATGAACCAACTCACCTTAAGGCAAAGCTTAGCCCGTCTGCTAGGAAGTGGCCCCACTATATCCACCTCAATACTACGGTATCTCACAAGATTAACTGCCGTTGGACGATGAAAGCCATTGCTTCCAACTAAGATGCACAAGACTGGGAAACGGGTAATGGATTCAGAATGGCGCATATTTAGTGGCTAGAATCGGTCTTTCGAGATGTGTTTCTCACCATGTGCCCCTTTAGGGTGATTCTGCTTCCTCTTTCCAGCCTTGGAGTTTTTCCTCTCCCTCACGTTTTCCTTCTGCGACCTTTTCTTCGGTTTCCATTTTAATCCTTTTCTTTTCTTCTGAGGCAGAGGTTTGGAAAGTGACTGAGATCTGTTGGCGCAATCCTCGTGTCAGTAAGGAAATCTATCTAGCACCTCGTTCCCTTCTGGCCCCCACTTCTAAGCAACCATTCCTGCGCTGTTGTAAACCCGTCTAAGGGCAGACTGCTACACCACGCGCTGAGAGATGATGGCTTCCAAGGGAGACACCCAGCCTTCTCCTGTGATGACTCCTGAAAAGGTCTCGAGCTCTCTTGATCCAATACCCATCGAAGAGATACCGCTGGAGAATATGCAGAAAAGCCGCTGGGAGCGCAGTTGGCCAACCATTGCTTGCGGCGCCGGTCTCTTTTCTGACGGGTATCTCAATGGAGTATGTAATACGCTCGGTTCTCAGTATCATATTCAATTGGCCACCAAAGAGAGTGCTTACTGACTTTGTCACTTAGGTCATTGGACCGGTCAATACCATGCTAAGCAAGATTTACCCTGACACGTACAAAAACTCCCCTGCCAGCAGGAATGTCTCTTCCATTGTCTTTGCAGGAACCGTGCTTGGTCAACTTATTTTCGGCTATGTCAGTGATCATTGGTCGAGGAAGTGGGCTTTGATGGTCTCCACGGTGATTTTGATCATTTTCAGTGCGCTCTCTGCCGGCTCCTACGGAGCTCATGGTAGCCAAGCTGGTTTGTTCGCCGCTCTGACCGCGTATCGGTTCTTCCTAGGAATCGGAATAGGTGGGGAGTATCCTGCAGGCAGTGTAGCAGCAGCAGAAAGCACGGGCGAGCTGAAGAGCGGCCATCGCAATCGCTGGTTCATCATGTTCACGAACTTCCAGATTGACTTTGGATTCGTCGTATCTTCTCTGGTTGCCATGATTTTGATGTTGATATTTACGGAGAACCACATGCGTGCTGCTTGGCGTGTGGCTCTAGGACTAGGCGTCATTCCGCCTCTGAGTCTGTTTTACTTGCGATTGAAGTTGGACGAGCCGGAGGAATTCAACAGGCAGCGCATGCACAAGTTCCCTATCTGGTTAATTATAAAGTAAGGCCGCTGGCATCTCTTCCCGTCCTTTTCTTCATAATCGCTGACTGTGTCTCTTCGCAGGTATTACTGGAAGCGCCTGGTTCGGCCCCCGTCTCCTGCCCTTCGCATGGCCTTTTAGCTAACTATAGCAGCTTGTGGTCTCCCTGATTTGGTTCATCTATGATTTTTCGGCCTATTCGTTCGGCATCTACTCGTCCGAATGGCTTTCAATCATCCTGGGCGACAGCGCTCCTCTCTGGAAGACTTTTGGGTGGAGCACAGTCACCAATCTTTTCTACATCCCAGGTGCTTTTCTGGGTGCACTGACGAGCGACTGGATCGGTCCGCGCAACACGTTGGCTCTCGGAGTTGCCCTGCAGGGTATCGTCGGCTTTATCATGGCGGGCTGCTACGTATATCTTCGGGAGGCAAAAAATGTTGCTGCGTTTGTCGTTGTCTATGGCATCTTCTCATCTCTCGGTGAATTCGGACCTGGGGACAATATCGGTTTATGTGCTGCAAAGACCAGTGCAACTTCCATCCGTGGCCAATACTACGCGATCGCAGCCGCATTTGGCAAGATAGGCGCTTTTGTTGGCACTTATGTGTTTCCGATAATCCAAAATAACGCTCCCAATGCCGTGCGCCAAGGACAAGATCCTTACTTTGTCAGCAGCTCCTTATGCATCTTCAGCGCTTTTCTGGCCTACTTCATGCTGCCACCTATTGGGCAGGTATGTTCTTGACTCGATCATGGACTTCGCCGCTGTCATTCCAGGACAAGTCACTGATACCGCTTCTTAGGATACAATTACCGAAGAGGACGCCAAGTTCCGTGCTTACCTCGAAGCTCAAGGTTATGATACCTCAACTCTGGGAAATAACCGTCCACAACATTGATCCATCTTCTGTTTGCTTTACTTACCATTCAGCATCGTACCTTGGACATACCGTCATCGCCCATCACTCTGCCATTGGCCGAGGCCCATTTCCCTTCGCCAGCCCTCTACTACAGCCAATAACCGAAGGATTCGCCCGCAACACTCAAGAAAATAGAAGCTTAGCCACCAGTTCGATAAGATTGGAAAGACCACCGTCTCCCCCAAGCGACCTGCCAGCCAGTTACTTCGAGCCCCGAGCAGCGTAACAGCCCAATACCCCAAAGAAAGTCGATCGGTAGAAAACGCAGTCCCTTGCTGACATTTCCATGGGTTGACTCGGCTGCGTAGCCAGAGACTTGCGATCGTCCTCTGCACGATGTACTATACCTCAAAGCATTGGTCTCCAGGAAATATGGTATTTGATGACTCAATTAATGTCAACCACTTTGCAGTAGTCCGTATGCCGTTCGTCTGGGTTCGGTCAGCTAACATCACTTGCATGCTCTGACCTGAATCAGTCGAAGTTGATAACAAACGTGTCACGTGCCAGAGATGGACAGCGCGAGTGAGCAGAAGTAGAACTACATGCCAATGTCTGCTAGCATAATACCTAGCTTCTTTCTAAATTCTTTTTTGTCTATGATGCAGATATGATTACGCATGTTGTACACTGTCTCACAAAAGGAGTATCGTGCAACATAGATTAATTGTTTGATAGCTTCGGTTCACAGCTCGGAGTGTGATTTCCATAGAGAGGTACTCCGTTTCTCCACAGGACCGCACGACGGATGAACCGAGGTTGATGGGGACAGACGGCGGGTGCATCTCTGGGGGTTCATTTGCCGACCGTGATCCATCCTCCCCCAGACGCCATTCCGTATCCTTCCTACTAATTTCTCCCCGTCTTTCGTTTATTCTTCCTTTGTTTGTGGGGTTTTCGTCTCCCTCTTGCTATTTCTCTTCATAAATCTCGTTCTTCGATCCTATCAGCTGGCCTGTCATCTCCTTAGTGGCACCTTGCCCTCCCAGAGACCGACAATCGGAGTATCCGCCTAGGAGTAAAACGTCGAGAACGCTCAAGTCTTCATATTTCGAAAATGGTTGCCGACGCTCTGGTTTATCATCCTGCTTTGGCGCACTACTTGCGCTTTGTCGCGACAACTGGTACGTCGTTATCCTGCACCCTGATCAGGAGAGGGTATCGGGAGTAAACGCGGAACACTGGTCGACATGCCGTTGTCTCCTCTCGCAACCCGGTTCGATGACCCTCAAGGAAGAGACGGTTGCTAATGATCTACAGTCGGTCGTGACAAGATCTTGCGTACTCTACAATACTTCTCCCGCTTCTACGCCTGGTACCTTTACCGCACCAACCGCCCCCAGTCCGCCATCGATCCCTACAATGCCATCAAGAAGCAGTTTGGCACAACACGAAAGATCCTCAGAATTGGAAAATTCGTGGAGCACCTCAAGGCTGCCGCGCTTGCCGCTGACAACAAGAGTCCCATCGATCCTGTCCTTCGGTACCTTGCCATCGGCCGCCAGCTCGGTTATGCTGGTTACCTGACTCTCGATACCATCACTGTCGTCGACGTGATCGGTGTTAAGAAGCTTGCTGCGGCCAAGCGGTTGCAAGAGTCTGCCTACCGCTCTTGGATGGCGGGATTGGCCTGCAGCGCCGTCGCTGGAGTTTACACTTTGTGGAGGCTGCAGGAGAAGGAGAAGACACTCGACCGTAAGGAGGGAGAGGGTGTTGTAGAAGCCAAGAAGCTCGAAAAGTATTTTATCTGACCTCAATTTGTTGATAATCATGGTATACTGACCGCTATCAGGGAACGTGCCGCCGCCCGTATCCAGCTGATCTCCGACTTGTGCGACTTGACTGTTCCCATCTCTGCGCTTGGCCTCGCCTCCCTCGATGATGGTATTGTGGGCATTGCCGGTACTATCAGCAGTTTGATCGGAGTGTGGGCGCAGTGGCGTAAAACCGCATAGATGAATGCGATCGATTGCCGTTCTCATTGAGCGGATCAAGTCAGCTCTTGAGTGAGGTACGGAGTAGTCTTGACTCGTTCTGCCAAGGTTGTGCGAGTCGTACACTTATGGATTCAGGTCCATCGTGTCCGAGCAGTGCGATGAGTGTTTGAAGGCGAGGAAATTTCCTGCCTTAGACGAGATTTCTTATTCACAATTTTGGGCTTCTCGAGCTCAGTTTGACGGTTGAAGCCACGTCCCGCTACCCGTTGTCTTTGATGAACGTATGTAACTTTTATCGAATACACCTTTTCCTTTCACGCTACAAAGTTATCAATGATATGCATTAAGTTTCTTATCCTGGCGACCTTGAACGATATATCTCGCCCCTTGCAGAGATCTATCAGATGCTACTCCGTAGACAGATGCAGCTTTTCTTATGTTTTGCCCGCATCATGTGAAACACGGATGTTCACATGCGGATACTTGCGTTCGGCCTGAGGTGTCGACGGGTACTGTGCGGCGGATGCCAACATTGTTTGTGTGTATTGGAATTACACTTTCGTCACCACTTTATTCTCACTGTCACTGTCAATTGGATTCGATCATACTGATTTGAGCACTGACTCAACAATAATTTGACGTTGTAATACCACAGGTGATTATAGGTTCTTTTCCCCATCGGGTTATAGAGTGGGAGGCGAAAAGGATCACTCTGGGATAGGTCACATTGGCTGATTGCTATTGCAGTCTATCGATAATCCATCCGCTCCATCATAATAGTTTCTTTTTTCGGTGACTAGTGACTAGCGAATTGAAGGTGAGGCGTCATGTCTTTTGCTGATAATGGTTAGAGCGACGCTGATAGACTGAAGCTCGAGTTTCACTCTCGGCATGCCGCAACTAGTATGTCGAGTATGTCGGTTCACCACAGGACGGGCCATAGACGACGATGAAGCATACCAGGCTTACCAGCTCAAGAACTTCCCGTCCTCTGGAGATTTTTCGGCCATTCTCCGCGACTTCTCTCCTTCATCCTTACTGGAACAATGAGGGCCGATTCTGCGGGATCTGCCATCGACCCCCGTAGCCCGTCGATCAGTCTCATTTTGTGCAGCCAAGCTTTACACGGCCAAATAGTTCGTCCTGCAAGGGCCAATATATGACCCACTCAAGCATGCAATTATCCAGCGGGCCTTGTTTGAAGGCAGGCAGCAATACAAAGGGATGCATAACAATGACGGGCTCAAGCTGGAATCCTTATCCATGCATATCCCTTGCCACCTGTTCCGGAGGCTCCCATCCTGCCAAAACTTCTACATCTGTCCTGAAAGCCATTCTAGCGAGTCTTGATAGTGTTGGGGACTTACCAGGTCAATGAAGCTGTCAGCAGACTGGGCTTCTCTGCGCAAGCCTTGCGAGACTTGTCTAGAGAGTTGAGGATATCCGGTCTCTCTACTGTCAACCCACCTGAACTGTCCTTTATGGTCGATTTCGAGAAAGGATGTTACACCCTATTCTCGATATCGATAACTTCAACGTTGTACTGGCGGTCATAAGTATGGACTTTTCAGGGCAATTGAATGGGTGATCGTCGCTGACTCACTATCAATCAAAGGCACATACATCCTCCTATTCGGATTCATATCGCTGAAAATCAAACAAAGATGGTACCTGGGTGAAGCTTGTATGATTGCTTCCTCGAGGATATTATCGTTGCTGATTAGGATTAGTGCCTGCTTTCCTGACTGGCGTCGCGTTTGGACCGTCTGCGGCGAGATTTCTCAAGGTTTCCCAATGGGCCGGTGACGATAGCGACGGAGACCACGATATTACCTACGTACGCTCTGCCTGATCCGGGTGGTTATATCTGGATAATTGTATGCTGACTTGCCTAGGACTTGGCTCGCCTGGTCATTGGCATCCAATTAGTCAAAGTTGGATATCAGTTGCCTCGGAAATATCTGAAGGAACGGTTCAAGGAAATGACCATTTGCTTACTTCCACTCACTGCCATCGGTTGGCTTGCGACATCTGGATGCATCATGCTCATGATTCCACGTATTTCCTTCGTCCGTCGGCCTCTGTCATCCGTCGTTGCAAACCGGTACTGATTTTCGCGAACAGCTATCCGCTCTTATAATCGGCTCCTGTGTAGCATGCACAGACCCAATTCTATCTCAAGCAATTGCCAAGGGTCCTTTCGCCGACAATTATGTTCGTCGCCCTCTCCGTGAATTCATCTCGTCCGAGGCAGGGGGTAACGACGGCTTTGGCTTCCCCTTCCTACTACTGGCTGTGGCCCTTTTGCGGTACGCCGAGGCACCTGACAACACGGCCAGTCTGGAAGACTTTGATTTGGCAAGGGGGATCCCGGACTCGCTGGGCACGGCTGATATCGGACGTTTTGGTGGTGGAGTTACCCGCGCTTTGAGGCACTGGGCTATCGAAGGTGTGCTCTATATGATGGTATTGGGATCGGGATATGGTGCTCTCATAGGCTTCATGAGCCGCAAGCTTCTTAACTTCGCTTCTAAGAGGTACGTGACGGATGACGTGCTTTCGAGACCTCCGCTTACCTCTGAACAGGAGATGGATCGATAACGAATGTTTCGCCCTCATGCCTGTGGCTGTCGGGGTAAGTTTATTCTAGTTGGTGGTAGAACAGCGCTAACAATGTCACTTAGTTGTTCATCGTCGGCACATGCGGCTGCTTCGGCTCCGATGAGACGTTGGCTTGTTTCGTGGCCGGGAACGCACTGAACTGGAACGGACTGTATCACGCCGAGTCGCAGGCCCGGCATGACGCCTTCAACTCGACCCTGGAAACGCTGTTGAATTTCGGGATCTTCATGTACCTCGGCGCGGTGATGCCATGGGATCAATTTCATATGCCGGACACAACGGGTATCACCGCCTGGCGGCTGATCGTATTGGGATTCCTCATCCTGCTTTTTCGTCGTATGCCGGCGATCCTGCTCGGGTACCGGTTTATGCCGAAGGTGTGCAGTAACTGGAAGGAAGCCTTGTTCATGGGATACTTCG